CGTTTTATGCTCATGGTATTTCAATCTAGGCTGCTCCACAGAACGCTGTTATTTTTCACAAGAAATAACTGAGCCCCTGTAACCAAATTGGCTACCTTGTCTCCACTGGAGCTTGGCCAAAAGATTAAGCTCTGTCATTGCATTAAGTGGTAATCTAATTTAGCAGAGCTGAGACAACTTCATTCACATTTGGCCTTTCAGGCATCAACTATGTGAAAAGGGATGTCTAGAAATCCAGAGTCCAAGCAAAGGCTCTTGAAAAAGCTCATTAAACACCCAAATGTTTTTCATTCCTGAGACAGCTGAAGGACAAGCCCTCTCTCTCCACTTACAAGAGAGATGCCTGTGGCGCAGCAGCACCAGGCGAGGGCAGGGACATCCTGCATGGGTGTGAAGTGTGAGATGGACTCCACTAAAACCCTCAGCACCTCCCAGAGATACAGGTGACTACTCCGTTTATTGTCCCGATATGGGGTTTCGCCATGTTGCCCCGGTTGGTCTTGAACTCCTGGGCTCAAGGGATCCTCCCACCTCGGCCTCCCGGAGTGCTGGGTGACAGATATGAGCCACTATGCCTATCTTCTGATTTGAATGATGAGGCAACTCAGAGAGGGGAATGACCTGTCCAGGGACACACAGCAGTGTCAGAACATCTGTCATTCTGCAAGGCATGCTGTAAAGTGCCCATCCCTCTGAAGGGTTCTTCATTATCCTCATCTCCAAGTCCCCACTCTCTTCCCAGACATCAGTCCTACAGCTCAGAGCTGCTGTCAAATTCTATCTCTACACTCACTTTCTGTCTACTTCTTTCTCCCTGCCTTGTCCACAGTCCCTTCAGAAAGGATCCCTGTTTTATTTGTTTTGCATCCCCACAATGCCAGGCACTGCCCGGCTCAGCATGCAGGCTCAGTCGCCACTCCTCTCAGCCACAGACGGCTCAGTTCCAGATGTCTGCACTCTCTAGTGTCCTTTCCAATCCTCTGGGTTGAAAACAAGGGAAAATCCTACGGGGTGGTCTCACATGGTGGGTTGGGAAGAAAAGTCTACTGGGCTAGGAACATGTTTGGAAAGTTCAAATCCAAGTGAGCCATCATGCTAGTGATGGATAGGTCACCAAACAGCAGAGAAGTTACACTGGGGTGTGTTTCATTCCATCAGTGGCACCTCCCCAAGTAGACTGCGAAGCTCAAATTCACGCAAAATCACTCCATACTGTATTCTTTTTATCACCCACACAGGGTTTAACACACAACAGATCCCTCTTGACAAACTCACCATGAGAGGAGACGTCAGCTGGCAAGTGCCTATGGGCTTGAGTTCTAATCCTGCTCTGCCACCATTCACCATTTAAAACCCTCTGTGTCCCTCTCCTCGCCTCACTGGGCTGTCACATGGGTAAAACGACTCAGGGCCTGGCATACAAAAGGGGCCTCTAAATCAGCTGAAAAACTGCCTCCCATACTGGTGAATCCCCGGGTCTGCCAGCCCTCAAGGAGACTCCGTAATCAGTTGCTGGGGATTCTGAAGTTCTCAGTGCAAAGGCTGCCGGGCCTAATCATGTAAAAATGGTTTCAATTTCTCTGGTCGAAATAGCAATGATATGGTTTGGCTCTGTGTCCCCACCCAAATCTCATCTCAAATTGTAATCCACACACGTTGAGGGAGGGACCTGATGGGAGGCGACTGGATCATGGGGAAGGTTCCCCCACACTGTTCTCATTGATAATAAGTGAGTTCTCATGAGATCTGATGGTTTAAAAGTGGCAGTTTGCCCTCTGCTCGCTCGCTCTCTCGCCACCACGTAAGACGGACCTGCACCTTTCACCATGGTTGTAAGTTTCCTGAGGCCTCCCCAGCCATGCAGAACTGTCAGTCAATTCAATCTCTTTTCTTTATAAATTACCCAATCTCATGTATTTCTTTACAGCAGTATGAAAATGGATGAATACAAGCAACCAGAATAACAGTTCTCTGAGAGCTTTTTCCTCTTCAGTAAAGCCAGGGCCCTGTGTTCTTCTCTGCAGAAAGCAGGAGAAAGAAGGAATGCAAGCCCCTCGGAAGGCTCTAAACTTAGACAAGAGTGAGGGTCCCAGCAGGAGTATCATGTAGCATTCGCAGAAGTGGCATTTGCTTTTCTCAGAAGACATCTTCTCACCTCCTTGTACAGCTGGTACATGGCAGGCGGAGGGACTGGCTCCCAGTCACCAAACAGGAAGAAACCAGGAGGAAACTTTCTAAAAAAGCCCAGGCCCAGGTGTGGCTTTAAGCTGAGTGTGTGTACACTGCGGGAGGGGTTGAGGTAGCAGGCAGGACACTGCACTTCCTAGCTCTCTGCTTTGACAACTGGGCAGTCACTTAACTTCATGCTTCCGGAGTGTCCTCATATAAAGACAGATAACCAAGGAGCCCACCGCAGCACAGCTCTGGTACCACCACACGTGGGGAGTAGAATGTAGTAAATGGTGCTCGCTGGCGACAGCTGTGCAGCCTGCATGACTGGCATCCCCCGGAGTTGTGCAAAGGAGATGCTGTTGTACCTCCTGCACAGGAAGGTACAAAACTGAAATGTGGGCCATGAACACAGTGTCCAGCACACGTGAGCACTACATGAAGACAGCTTTGAACAGGGCTCACATGAGAACTGTGTCAGCCCTCTGCCTCTCCTGGACTCTGTGCATGTCCAAGGCCTGATCCCAAGACTGTTTCAGGGCTGAAGAAAGGACCAATTCCAGGGAGGTCAGGGCCGAGAGCGACCATGGTTTATGCTGCCATAGTTTAAACCACCCGACCGGTGGATCCTGGGGAATGGCGAAGGCAGTCACAGAAGCCGGCCCAGAGGGAAAAGTGAAGCCACAGAAAGGAACCCTTGAGGTGTCTGCAAAAGTGGGATGGTGCCTGCACAGGTGTGTGCAAGCATACATGTGCATGTGTATGTGAAAATGTGTGTGTACACCTGTGCGTGTCTGTGCTTGCACATGTGTATATGTGTATGTGAAAATATGTGGGTACAACACGTATGTGCATGTCTGTGCCTGTGCACATGTGCGTATGCTAAAATGTATCTATGTGTGTACACGCGCATGTCTGTGCCTATGGACGTGTGTGTATGTATATGTGTGTGAATGTGCGTGTGTGCACGTGTATGTGTGCCTGTGCACGTATATCTGTGTGCACACAAATGTGCATAAAATCAATCTCAGGCATGTTTATCGTTGGCTGATGTTAGCTTGCTCTCGCCTGCAAGCTGTCCCCTGGAATCACTGTCCACCAGCCACGGTCTCAGCATGGGGCTTCCCTCAGCTGACACAGTTGCCTGCCTGTCTCCCTCATCCTCGGGCCAGTGCCAGGCCACCCTTTCAGCTTTTAGCACGCATGAGAAGGTTGACAGCTACAAAAGGGCCTGCATCCCTGGCCTGGAGCAGGGATGTGCAATCCTGAAAATGTCATGGCTTCCGTCCTATCATCTGGAGAGAGGAAAATGTCCTCAGGGCCTCAAATGGTACTAAAGGTGTCTTGGAGCGTGCAGTTATGTGTATCTGCCTCTGTGTGTGTGTCTATGTGTCTCTGTATGTCTATGTGTCTGTGTCTGTGTGTGTCTATGTGTCTGTATGTCTATGTGTATGTGTATGTATATGTGTAGGTGTCTGTGTGTGTCTAGGTGTCTGTGTGTCTATGTGCCTGTGTGTGTGTCTATGTGTATGCATGTGTGTCTATGTCTCTTGTGTGTCTATCTGTCTGCGTGTGCCTATGTCTGTGTGTCTACGTGCATATATGCATGCAGCAAAAAGGACAGAACAAAGCGGGGACCCTCACTGTGTGCAAAGCATTCCGAGTGGCTCCCGCTCTCCTCTTTCTGCCTATCTTGATTCCTTTCTCCCCTTCTAGCCTCATCCCTTCCCCTCAAGTCTGAAAGGATCCCAACCCCCCGTGCTCGTGCACCCAAGGCAGTGCACAGATGGTGCCTTCGCTCCCAAGCCCTCCTGAATCCACTTCCTCATCACGGGGACTGGCTCTCCTCCCAACCTGGTACCAACAAGACCACGTCCCGAACTCAGGGTGGTGGCGCGGTGCTGCCACTCAGCGACTCAGTGTTCACAGCCCTGCAGGGAGCTCTTGCCAAGCTCCTCCCTCCCGGGCTTCTGGAGCCTCCTCACTGTCAGCTTCCACTCAGGCCCTTGGTGATCTGATCCCCCTGCTCTGCGCCAGTCCCTTTTCTGCCACTTCCTCCCATAAAGGGGAAAGCCTGGTGGTTCCCTGGAGATTCCCCCATTGCATGACTTCACTCAAAGCTGCGGGCTGCTCCCTAGTCAGGGCCCCTAGAGCCCGACATCCAGTCTGTCATTAAGGAGCCAACTTCTGAAAAGCATTTCACAGCCACCAATTCTAACTGATGAACACAGGTTCTCCGTCACCTAAGACATGCTCACCCTCCCTTGGAACTCACACACCTCACCAAGACGGTAAGTCTCCACCTTTGAGTCAGCACAGGCCCCTGCTGTGAACCTTCCCTCCACAAGTTTAAAAGATTCTGTCTACCAAACGCTGCGTATCATGTGATAGCCTGTGCAGGGTTACCTTTGGAAAAACTTACAATTCCCCATATGCCTTCTAGGCATTTAGAAGAGCTTTTCCATCCTTCCAACTATGTTTTGGTGAATTTTGGTAAGATCTTGGAGACCATAAGTTGTGAACCACTAAAATCTAGACTGCAGGATGCCAATGAAGAATTGTTTGTGTCTATACAAGTAAGGGCTTGAAGAATTACAGACAGAAAGAGGAATCTTCTGGCCAAACAGTCCACACCACCTTACCCTCAGGAGCAATCTAACACTTCACTTTGCCTAGGTAGACAGACAGACACACATGTGACCCACAGCTTCTCAGAAAGACCACAGTCAGCATCAGAGAAGCCCCTTTCTCAACAGGCAGGAAGCAGGTTCCCTGCGGCTCTGCGCAGTGTCCAAGGGACACTGATTCACGCATTCCGCTTGGCGATTCACCTCCTCGGGTCGGCTCAGCACATGTCCCTCGGGGCCTGTGATGCCCAGATCCAGGATCCTCTGCTGCTCCTGCAATGTTGAGAGAAAGTCAGGCTGTGAGGCAGAGTGGACTACACACAGCTCTAATGGCAGAGACCTGGGCACGCAGTTATCCGGGCAAGATGGAAAATTACCACTGCCGATTGTTCTACCCTCATCCCAAGACCTCATGAAGAGAAGGGTTCGCTGTCCTGTTTCCAGTCCCACCTGAGCAGGATGGATCAATTACAACCTCCCAAAACCATTCAGCTGTTCCCTGGGATGCTAACGGCTGGTGCATTTGCAGCCCTCAGTCACAGTGTAAAATGCCTGTGTGTGACGTGAGGGTTCCCGTACCCCACCCAAGGCAGCTGCATTACAGCACCGAGAGAAATGGACTCTCTCTGCAATGGTAACTGACTTAGATGTTCCGTGGGACACACGGAGAGGCACGTGTGTCACTGGCATTCACACCATGGGTGAGACTGAGCAGAGCTCCAGCAAGGGAACACAGGGTCCCTCTGCTTTTCCACCCTGGCGTTAAGCTACAGATGTTGCCTCCCTTTCTTGAGCCTGCCTCTCACCCTCCAGGTGACGAAGAAATGATGAAAAAGAAAGTCCTGTACCTCTGCAATGATGTCGCCGTTTTCTGCGTGGACTTGGGCTATGGCGCCAATATCCCGGATCACACTCAGTACTTCATAAATCTGAGAGAGAGACGAGGGTGGGATCAGAGACAGGGACTTCTATCTTCCTGTTCACAAGGACAATCATTTCCCTGCCAGCAGCATTTCTGGGGTGAGAAACAGGACACCTAGGCTGATTCTATTAGCCTGGCTTTTTCAACACGACCGAGGGCAATGTTTCTGGCCACATTTGATGGAGAAAGACCCCTCAGAAATTAACAGAGGCAGTACAACTTAGCAGGACGTGGACCAGCAGCGAAAAGCTCTTGGGTGACACCTGGCTCTGCACCAGGTTTGCTAAGGAGGTTCTGAGTGCCACACTCAGACACGCCATGCTGGGCAGAGCCTCAGATCCAGAGCGGCGAAGTGGCAGCACTGGGAGCTACGGCACTGGGTTCATATTCTCTTTCGAGGCTCAATTACATCAGTAACTGCATCCACCAGGCACTTCCCAGGAAGCTAGGAGACGTGCACACACTGGAGACTGCTTTCCCAAACAGCCACAGCCCGAAGGTACCAAATGTCAGGGTGCCTCTTCCGAAAAGCCAACTTTCTTACCTGGCAATCCGTTAGCTGGAAGCGATCTTTGAAAGCCATGTACACGAGGAAGGAATTTACCCCTAGTACAGACAAAACAGAGAGGTGGACTTGTAATAGATAAACCACATAACCAAATAAGGAAATAAGACATATGTATGTGTGTATACACGTGTTTGTGTGCGTGTTTCAGTACAGAGGAAGAGAGAGGAGAGAGATGGAGACACAGAATGGTAAAGGAAGCAGAGTAACATATAAATAACCGGAGAATGTGGGGTGAAGATGCACAGGGATGCTTTTTAGTATTCTTATGGTTTTCCTGTAAGTTTACAAGTATATCAAAATTAAAAGTTGCCAGTATTTGCACATCCATGTTCATAGCAGAATGATGCACAATAGCCAAAAGGTGGAAGCAAAAATCAAGCCTCCATTAACTGATAAATGAATAAACCAGATGTGGTCTATCCATACAATGGAATATTATTCAGCCTTTAAAAAGGAAAGACACCTGACCCATGCTGTAACATTGAAACCTTGAGGACATCATGATAAGCGAAATAAGCCAGTTGCAAAAGGACAAATACTATACGATTACACTTGTATGTGGTCCCTAGAAGTCAAATTCACAGACAGAAAGTACAACAGCGGTTACCAGGGACTGGGGTGAAGGAGAGTGGAGAGTCAGTGTTTAATGAGTGAGTGTAGTGTTTTACTTTTGCAAGATAAAGAGTCCTGCGACTGGAGGGTGGTGATGGTTGCAACAACATTATGAGTGTATTTTAAAACACTGAACTACACGCACACTTAAAAATGGTTAAGATGGTAACTTTAATGTTATATTTATTTTACAACAGTTAATTTTTTTAAGCTGCCTCCACCAAACAAGTCTGTTGCGACTGTAAGAAGAAAATGAATTAGAAGTTTCTGCCTATGAAGAACTGTGATAAATGTCTTTTCTTTGGCAGACAGACTGCCTTCCATGCTGATTTTTAAGAAAATGATTTTTTAAGTAAGAAAGGGTCCATTAGTTCAACAAGCAGATGTCACAATTCTCATCCTGGCGTCTTGGAGTTCTTGCCTCCCCAGGCACCAGACCAAACATCCCTGCCCAACATTCATCACAATTTTAAACAATTGTCCTGACAACCTCACAGCCTTGAAGCTTAATTCAAGCCACCTGGGGGGTGCTGGGAGCTGCCTGAGTTAAATACCTCTGTACATCCCGGCCCTTCTCCCGTTGCCAGGCAACAGTTACCATGGTAACCCTCCTGCCTGGTTTGGAGCAGATTCAGTCTAAGTATCCACAGATAAACCACTTGGAGTCTCTGCATGCTCAAAAGTGAGAAAAGTCAAAGGTTACCTATTTTCTTTTATGTGGAAGCTTCATGCTGGAAAGAATCTTAGAGGACATCTAGTCCAAGACCCTCATATATGAGAAATGTTTCAAAATCTGAGACCCATAAAATTTAAGCAATTTACCCAGGGTCATACAGTCTGTGGAATATCAGAAATAAACCCAAGACTCTTGTTTTTCATTCTGGGGCATTTTCTATCATTCTAGTGCCTAGAGATTTCCTTCCTGCCATGTCACTCACAGCACATGGTGCTTCTGAGCCTGGAAGTCCCAGAACCCTACAGCATTAGGTGCTTCCCTGAACGCTAAGATCCAACGAGGTTAATTTGGTCTCTAGCCAAGCCCAGTGAAACCCAGGAAGACAATGTGGCCTGGCTCTTCCCCCCAAACCCCCGAGGTCCTTGTTGACAAGAGTCACAGAGGCACCTTGAGGTGGTAAAGATTCCTCCCGCCTCTCTGTAAATCTTCCCAATCCCTGGAAATTTATTCTCCAAAATAATTCTAGGGAATGCAAAAGACCTCTCAGGTTGTTACTTAGTTTTGAAGTATCTCATAGCCCTCAAATCTATCCTAGATCCGCCCAGGTTTGTAGGAAGGGGCTGCCCAACACTCTCCTGAAACTGCCACATCCTCCCTGAGATATGTATTTGTTATCTTTTGAGGGTAAATCTCTCTCTCGGCAGCCTCAATTCCCCACCCTAACTAGAGACCATGGTGCCCACAAACCAATAAGCTGTGAGCAGCTGTCACCTAAGAGCAGATCCCAGCAGTAAGGCTCATCTTCTCTTATCAATGAAGGCTTATGTTACTGCACTGGGTAACGTCACCTCCAATCAGCACGCGCTGCAGCCCAAAGCCCTCTCTCCTTCCCAGGGGCAGGCATGGGCATGAGGCGCAAATGGGATCTGGAAGCATTATCACTTTCTTCTCAGGGCTGTGCCAGTTGATGGACTGAAGCAGAAACATCTGCAGAGGGCATTGACTTAGTGCCACCTACCGTGATCCTTCACAAGCGCTTCCATCTCCTCCTGGATGCCCTTATGCCACTCGCTGATGTCCACGTGCAGAGAGTAGTCACAGCAGGACTTGCTGTCGGCCCATTCCCTCCACTGGTCAAAGGCAGCGAGCAGGCTTGTCCCAGGCTCAGGAACAACATGGTCAACTACAAAGAAACAGACATATGTCGTCATCACCAAGAGCCTCAAGGGCCGTGGGCCAGCAGGTATTTTCCCACTCGAACCCTGAATAAGGCTTCTTGGGTTCAAAATTGAGATGGTGATCTCTACCAACAGCTTCCAAGAATCCACATAACCCAGTTGATTATCCAAGAGGGAGAAAGCAGAAAGCAGAAACTTGGCATTGGATGATGTCTCCAGCGAAACCACACATGCACTGCCCAGATCTGATTTCCCAAAACCCCTGAAAGCTCAAGTGTTGGGTGCATTTCACGGACAACGGGTCCTTATGGACAACGGCAGTGTCAAATGGCCGGGGAGCAGCCAAACCCTTCTTTGTGTTGAAAGCAGCTTATGAGACGCCCCCCGCCAGACGGCAGGGAACTTGAAGGTGCTGGAGCAGAGCCACACGGACTGGGCCTTTCAAAAGTTCCCGGGCATTACCTGCTCTCTCATTACCGCTCACATTTCTGCAGCTTAATACCACTTTGTAATTTAAGGGAAATCTTTCATCTTAAGAGTTCAAAGTGTTTTAAAACTGCATTCATTGTTATATTACTATGGAAGTAGGCTGATCTGGAAGACAGAGGACTTTGGATGCAAGCTGACCTGAATTGGTTTCCTAGCTCCATCATTCACCCGCATGGTGTCCTGGGGTAAACTCCTTAATCTCCACTGCCCTAATTTCTGTGCTGCTTTAAAATGGGGATAGTATTACCTAGCACATACATTTGTTATGAGGATTAAAGGAGACAGCATATCTATGAATCTTACGTCATTCCCCGATTTAAATCCTCCAATGGTTTCCCCCTGTTCTTCAGATAAAGATTCAAGTCCCCAATAAGGTTTGCAAAATCCTGACCAGCGTGGCCCTGGCCTACCTCTATAACATGACCCTGAACCATCTCTCCCTTGTACCCTGCTCTCCAGTTACATGGACCGTTTTTCAGTTACTAAAATATCTACCTGCTGCCTCCCACCATAGGGCCTTTGCAGCTGCTATTATCTCTCCTAGGTCTTGGAGAGCTCTCGCCCAGCTGACATGATGGCAGGAGGATTACCGGGACTATTACTATCCGTCTTCCGCACACAAGCACTAAAATACAACTGAAATGATTAAACCAGGACTGAACACTTAAAGCAATGAATCATTCTTCCTAAATGTTAGATTTTCTACACTCGGGTAAGCAGTTCTGAGCTAAGAAAACGTCAGTCCATGTAATGCTAGAGAGCTCAGATTTCTGAAATGGATCAAATCTTGCAGATGCTGCTAAATTCTGATCAACTGGGCTTGGCTTTGTATATGTCAGAAATATAGCCATTGCACTTTGGGAGGTCAAGGCAGACAGATCACATGAGTCAGGAGTTTGAGACCGGCCTGGCCAACATGGTGAAACCGTCTCTACTAAAAATACAAAAATTAGCTGGCCGTGGTGGCGTGTGCCTGTAGTCCCAGCTACTTGAGAGGCCGAGGCAGGGGAATTGCTTGAACCCGGGAGGTGGAAGTTGCAGTGAGCCAAGACTGCACCACCGCACTCCAGCCAGGGCAACAGAGCAAGACCTTGTACTAAAAAAAAAATATATATATATATATACACACACACACACACACACACACACACACACACACACACAAATATGGCCATCTAAGCTGAATTTTCTTTTGACCAAATTTACCTTTTTGTAAGTATTAGTGTATGTAATTAAATGAGTACATGCATATCTGGTATCTGTAATATAGATAATGTTATCTAATAAAAACAAAAATGATATCCACTTTAAATGCAAGCATATTCCATCAGTAAAATGCTGACATAGAAAACTTGACAAAATAATTCCAGTTTTTCTTAAGTTGTATGTCCCCCCTTCAACACCCCAAAAACAAAAACACAAACAAACAACAACAACAACAACAAAAAAAAAAAAACAAAGAAAACCATACAAATATCACTGTGTAGCAATCAGTTTGGGCAGAATCTCCCTATCCACTCCCCTGGCTTCATTTCTTGCCCTCCTACAAATCAACCTTCAGAAGCAGCTAGAAGGATCTTAAGCCTTTCATCAGACACTGCCATTCCCCTTATTAAATCCTTCAGTAGCTGTCCTTAGCGCCCAATTCGAACTCTTTCCCTTTGCCAGTCAGATCCAGTCCTAGCTCATCTCTCCAAGGTACTCTCTATCCCCGACCTGCTCACCCACAATGGCCACCCCGGGCCATTCTTCAATTTGACCTGCCCAACCCCTGGGCAACTCCAGGCCTGTGCACAAGCAGCCCTCTCTCTCTGGAAACCCATTCCCAGCGCTCTTGACATGGGCATCTCCTCATTCTTCTCACCGGGGCTACACGTCACCATCCCAGGGTGGCATCGTTTCTGAATCCGTTTCACTCATTTACTGTCTGACCGCTGACTAGAATGTAAACTCCCTCCGAGCAGGGACTGAATGCCTAGATCAGGGAATAGCCAAATGAATGCTCTAAATAAGTGACGGAATGTTTCCTTCCGGCTCTCACACTCCACTTGCAACCAGGTCAAGCAGCAAAAGAGGGGCTTCTCCTGGGAACCGGACCAGCTTCTGCTGTGGCAAAGACCCCTCCCTCAACACTGCCCTGCCAGACCCTCACTTATGGAAATGCATTCCTTTCACTGGCCAGCAAGGGGAATGAGCAGAAATAATCATTTTTTCTGATGATATGATGCTTTGAGTAGAAAATTTCAAAAATACAGAAAATTATAGGGAAAGTTAATAATCCCATTACCATCACCACCCCAAAATCAGATTATTCAAATTTGGGTGTATTTTCACTGCCTTTTTTCTATATATTATACCTTATTCTATTTCTTGATTTATAGTCCACTTTCTTCCCCCAAAAAGTTTTAAGGTGGTTTATAGAGACACATGAAATACAAAAAAAAGTGATAAACCAGAAAGAGTAATGCAAGATAAAGTGGAAGAAAAATAATGGTAAAATAAAATCAGGAATGAGGCATGTATGTATGTGTATGTATGTACATATATATTTATATGTGAATATGTGTACATAAAATACACATATGTATATGTGGATGCAAGTGTGTATGTACATATGTGTGTGTTTGTATAGATAAATACTTGATATTTAGTCTTATACATGGGCTAAATTTAGAGTTAGGCTCTCTAGCCAATGTAAATAAGGAAGCCTGATATGTTCAATGTATCTATTTCCTTTAAGATTGAAAAAACAAATCCCTCCTAAGAAGAAGGATAAGTACCGGTGACACATGCTCATAGTTACTGAATAATCCTTTCCTTCTATTGATTTATGATGACTTCAAAAAATACTTTATCATTATTACTACTAGATAACATATCTAATAATGTTTTAAATTCATGCATACCTTACAGAGAGACAATACCAGGTTCTGTTCCTGGACTATTTTGCTCCATTCATCTCAATCAGTACTAAATAGAGCAGCTTTTTAATACATTTTAATATCTGGTGGCAAAAGATCACTTGAGGCCAGGAGTTCGAGACCAGCCTGGGCAACATGATGAAACCTTGTGTCTACTAAAAATATAAAAATTAGCTGGGTGTGGTGGCAGGTGCCTGTAATCCCAGCTACTCAGGAGGCTGAGGCAGGAGAATCACTTGAACCCAGGAGGTGGAGGTTGCAGTGAGCTGAGGATGCACCTCTGCACTCCAGCCTGGGTGACAGAGCGAGGCTATGCCTCAAAAAAAAAAAAAAAAAAAAAGGAAACAAAATAAAAGCTCATTTACTCCATAAGATTTTCTCCCCTTCTCCTTAGGCCAAGGCACTCATTTCCATTGCAAGGCTCAAGCAAGCCATCTTAAAGCCTTACAACCATTACCACAATCTAGATTTAGAACATCACCAAAAAAGAAAGGCTGCACCCACCTGCAGTCATTCCCCATTCCCTCCCAGCCTGCTACTCCCAGCCCCTGGCAACCACTAATCTACTTTCTGTCTCTGCTCCACTCACTCTTAGACCAAGTGGGGAGGGTGACAGACAAGGACAACTTCAGGCTGGTGACAGGACCCATGACTCCATATCCCAATGATGTGTCATCAGATCGTCTGATGCTAGACTCCTCAGACTTCAGGGTGCACAGTAATGATCTCCAGTGTTCATTAAAACACAGGTTCTGGCCGGGTGCGGTGATTCACACCTATAATCCCAGCACTTTGGAAGGCTGAGGCAGGAGGATCGCTAGAGCCAGGAGTTCAAGACCAGTCTGGGCAACACAGCAAGACCCTGTCTCAAAAAAATAATAAAATAAAAATAAAAATAAAAATAGGCCGGGTGCAGTGGCTCACGCCTGTAAACCCAGCACTTTGGGAGGCCGAGGTGGACGGATCACGAGGTCAGGAGATTGAGACCACCCTGGCTAACACAATGAAACCCTGGCTCTACTAAAAATACAAAAAATTAGCCGGGCATGGTGGCAGGCGCCTATAGTCCCAGCTACTCAGGAGGCTGAGGAGGGAGAATGGCATGAGCCTGGGAGGTGGTGCTTGCAGTGAGCCGAGATCGTGCCACTGCACTCCAGCCTGGGCGACAGAGGAGACTCTGTCTCAAAAAAATAAAAATAAAGATAAATATAAAACACAGGTTCTCAGACCTTATCCCAGAGTTTCTGATGCTGCAGGTCCAGACTGGGACCTAGTAATTTGCATTTCTACTAAGCAACCTGGGAGTTACTGAGTTTGCCTTGAACCACCTTGAGCATCACTAACCGAGTACAAATCTTTTCCCAAAACTTCTCCCTCCACCTCCTTTCCCTCCTGCCCATTTTACCACGAGGGGCCTGTTTACTACACAACAGCATCATCACTTACAAAAAATAGCATGTTCCCCGGCTGCAATCCCATGGCTTCCTTGCATATCCAAATTAGCTCCGGGGGTTATGAACCCTTGAAAAGCTCAGGACCTGGACACAGTTGAGCACTTCGGGGAAATAAACATGCTTCCTTCAAGAGCTTATGAC